CGACAGTGCTCAATGGGTCTCTTTGCTCCATGTCCTCACCAGCACTTGTTATCTGTGGCCTTTTCTATACTATTCATAGCACCACAGGTGAGAAGTGGTATCTCGTTGTGGTTTTGAGTTGCATGTCTCCGATAACTAGGGATGTGGAGTGTCTCTTCATGTGCCTGTTGGGCATTTATGTCTTCTTTGGAACAAATATTTATTCAGATCCTTTGTGCGCTTTTTAATTTAATTGTTTGGCTTTTTGTTCTTGAGTTGTATGAGTTCTTTATCTATTTTGGACATTGACCCATTTTTAGACATAGGACTTACAAATATTTTCTCCCACTCAGCAGGATGCCTTTTTATTTTGTTGACGGTTTTTCTTGCTGTGCAGAAGCTTATACGGTTCCCACTTAATTGGTTTTTGCTTTTGTTTCTTCTGTTTTTGGTGTCAACCCTTGGGAGTTATTTAAGAAACTAGGACATGTTTCTTTATATATCTTGTAAATTGGTGCTCGCATCTAGAGGGTTGATCAGATTCAGGTTAGATTTTGATGGAAGTCATATAGCACAGGTACTGCTCTGTTCTTCTACCAGGAGGCATCTAGGGTATGGTTGATCCTCGGTGGGATGATAGCAGGTATTTATGTTCAGTGTTCATATCCAAACATGATGATATTCTAATATTTCTTCTCCAGTTTTTAGCGGGGCTACCTCTGATCACAGAAAACGATTTGATTATCCAGTAATACACTTTGTGTAAGACAGGCAGGATTCTTCCCCTTTATTTGTCATTTCAAAATAATGAGTCGGTTTATTAGCAACCTCCAGCAGTTACTAAGTGTCTTTATTTCAAACATATATTAGAACCCATGGATTTAAACATATTTTATGTTACAATTCAGCATTGAACTGTTCTACAATAGGGGTTTGTTAAATAAATTATGGCATTCTATGCAATGGAGTAGTCACTGAAGATAATGATATAAGTGTGTGTTATTCACCTAAAAGTTATTCACGGTATTTTATTTAAAATAACTTTAATGTTAAGTACATAACCATGGTACCAAAAGGAACATGGTGAGAAATTTCTCTTTCACCATTGTTCTAAAGCCACCCAGATTTCCTCCCAAGCACCCAGTAAATGTGGGTGTCCTTTGTGGTCTTCTGGATGTAATAGAGCTGATCATGTGTGGTGGTGCTCTGGCGTGGCCATATCTGTTGTTAAAATAATTAAGTGCTTCTGTAAGTTTGTTACACAGTCACTTCCCCGACCTCTGAGTGCTCTGCTCTCCTTTCCCTTTTGGGCACTCCAGCCCCTCCCCCATCACCCTACAGATGCTGCCCACCACCCAGCAACCGAGGGAGAAAGCCCAGGGCCTGAGGGAGCTACAGTACCATATATACACACACACACACACATATATATGTATGTATATATATGTATATATATATGGAGAGAAGTTGCCTCATAAAAATATAAATATATATTTAATACATGCTTAACTTATAAAAAAACTTACATTTGTAATGTAAACTTCATGTTTAAATGGAATATATTCTGAACTGGTATGTAAGAAAACATGAAACGTAATTTTCTCTGGTGGCGTGATTGTGATTGATTTTTTTTCTTCTCAAACTTAACTGCCTTTCTGGATTTGTCTACAATAGACACATTATTAACATATCAATAAAAGAATATGCCTAAACTGGCTTTATTTTTTCAAACTATATATATATATATATATATATTTATTTATTTATTTATTTATTTATTTTAAAGTAACATCAATATTTTCAACAGCTCCACCTGCTGGCTGCTGACAAAAGTTTATTTTCCAATATTACTGTATTAGTTTTTACTGTAGGCAGGAGAAGAAAATGAATTCCTGTATTTGAACAAAAGATGCTTCTTACATTCTATGAACAGTAAGTATCAGAAATCAAGTTAGTTTATCTGGGATGAAACACGGTACAAAAGCAGGCTGTTGGCCTAGAATAGAAAAATAACATTGAAAAATCAGCTGGGTGTTTGGGCTTAAACTGGCTGATTTTGTTGATTGTGCAAAATAAAAACACTGATTAGTAAAAACACTGATTTGCTGGATGTGCATGAAATATGTTGTAGAATTTCAGGTGCCTGTGCACAAATATTCAGAGCTGCAGTCTAAACTCCTTTCATTCTCATTATTTCTCAAGTGAAATTGCTCTTGGCCTCATATCTCTTTATATTGTTTTCTGAAGTTGAATAAATGATAAATGCTTTGCTAAACACAAACCTCTGTTTTTAGATGGTAGTGAGAGGTATGATATTTTGTATAAATATCTCTCGGTCCTCTAATTTTGGAACCCTTAAAAAAGATCTATCATTATGTTGAGATGAGACCTCTAAGACAAAGTTTAAAAAAGAAAGAAATCAGAAGGAAACTGATTTGGCTAATGTTTTCTAGCCCAAGCATGAAGCAGCATTATAAGGCAGGCAATGATCATGTCCCAACCCCTTCCCCTAACTTTCCCTTGTGGCCTCTTTCTGCCTCTTACCCCCCCGCCCCCCCATACCCCCTGCAGCTGAAAATCCCTGCGCCTTTCTCAGCCCTGCTTTGCGTATCTATTTCCACAGAAAGAAAAAAACAAACAAAAACAAAAATAAAAAACCAAAAAAACCTCCTGCTAATGGAAAGCCAGAAAAACAGTGTGGGCCAATAGGCAGGTGCAGCTTGCAGATTTGGGGATTCCTCCACCCCACTCCAGCCTAGAATCACTGCCCCACACCGCAGGTGAAAGTAGACTTCTTCCAGAAATATTTGCATTTTAAAGAGAGTATAAGGGCCGAATGCAGGGGATTGATCCTGGGAGGAGGGATTCTAGGCTCTGGGAACTGAGTTAGGGATGAAGGTGGGGGAGGGCCTCTGTGTTTTCTGTCAGAAGACTGCCTCAATCCTCCCCCAAAGGCCCTATGTATCACAAAGTTTACGTCTGCTCAGCTTCATCTGCTCATTAGCCCATAAACACCAATCGGCTAATAATTGGTTCTTTTTCAAGTAACACAACCACATTTCCACATGTGTTTTGCACGTCCAATGCCTTAACCCCGAAGAATTAGTCTGGTGGCAATCTGAGCACTGACTGCTGCAGGCTGGCAGGGGATTACGTTCAGCTTGGGGGGACTTCAAATGACATGGAGTGGGTAACAACCTATATCTAGGTGGGATTCAGTCTCCTTGTTACTGACTATCCACCATGCTTTATTAAGCATGATCAACATTGTACTGCTCTTGGAAGTGAAATAGTAATGTAAAAAAGGAAAATGATATATTGGCTCTGATCATGCATAGCCCTTAGAAACTGACTTTCTGTCTTTTTTCTCCTTTATACACTGATACATTTCTTATTTCTACTGCATTTTGAAAGTGATTCTGACTTACAATATTTTTGCTATTCAGATAGTTCGATAAATATAAGTGCAAACACTAAGCACTGTATTTCCAGAGGACCACATTCTTGTAACATTCCGTTTACTTCTTAACATGCACGTTATTTTGTTTCAAATGGTAGAAATCCAAAAAGAATGGAAGATGAATTGTCCCATAAGCCCTGCAGAAAGCAGTGCAGCTGTGCCAACACCTTGGTTTTAGCCAAGAAAAACCCCATGCCAGTCCTCTGAACAATGGAGCCGCGAGACAAATTTATGTCATTCTAAGCTACCCTGAATGTTGTGATTATTCGTTAAAGCAGCCATAGAAAACTGGTACAGGTGGTGATTGGATTTGGGGTCCTTTTATCATCAAAGGTAATTTCCCTAACCAAGTTTGTATAAAATCACCATCTTAAAACATCATTCCCATACAATTTCTCTTTGTCAGAGTGGACAATGTTCCCAACTGATTTTTCAATTATTTATGTTTTTTAACAAAATTATGCCACATCCAATTGTATTGGTCCTGATGAATTTCAACTGGCTTACTTTTTGGACTTCATTTTTTTTTAGAACAGTTTTAAGCTCACAGCAAAATTGAGAGGAAGGTACAGACACTTCTCATGTACACACTGGCCCCCTCACTTGGGTATTTTAAAAGCCCTAAACATAGTTTATTTTTTGTTTTAATATCAATTTCACACTCCAGTTTCCCTAAACAGTGTTGCTTAAAGCAAAACCTTCATTAGACATGAAGGTTTTCATGACTAATTTTTGTGAATCCATTTGCTGTTGTATAAAATTTACAAAAAGTATTTTTTGTTAGGGACTACGTCTCATTGAGGCCTTAAAGATTTTTTGTCTCTCTCCGTCCTATTAGTGATTGCCACATCCAACTGCTAACATAGTCCCCAGCGCTGCAGGAGCACGGAGATGCAAGTCTAGGAATCTACCCCTGGACGTCCTTGTGGTCTTCGGACTGTTTCTCAGGACAGTAAGGGCATTTGTGACAACAGAACGAATGAATAGGATGTTTTGTTGCAAATTGTGTAACTGTGTCCCACTTCTGCAGCCTAAGCAATTCTTCAAAAGGGGGGAGCTGTGAGATTAAGTAAAATCATTAACACACGCCTGTACAAAAGCTATTTTATGGCCTTTAGAGATGATTAGGTCTGAGTTACTAAGGAGCAAAGTAGTTAATACCAGTTTTATTTACCTAAGACAACATCAGTACTCCATTTCAGTGTTTTGCTTTTTTCTCATGCCCAATTTTTATCCAGAGTTAGAGAAAGATTACAATCTTTATGGCTTTCGACAGAAGTCAGACGACCGTACAGGCAGAGAACGCACTTCCAGAGGCCGGTCTCTCACCGACCTGGGCCGCGGCGGCGGCACCGTGACCCTGTGCCAGCGTGCGCGCGCGTCGGGGCGGGGCGGTGCGGAGTCGCGCGCACGCGCACGCGCGCGGCGGCGCGGAGAGCGGCGCGCGGCGGGGCTGTCGGGTCGGCAGGGGGCGCTGCGCCCCCACGCCGCGCTCTGCCTGCCCCCGGGTGCCTCGGCGGCGGTTCGATTGGAGCAGCCGCCGAAGAGCGCTTGGCGCCATTTTGAAGCGAAGAGGAGGAGGAACGGCCGGGCTGGCTGCGGAAGGGGAGGGGGGGAGGAGACGATTGGATGCGGCGGCGGCGGATCCCGGAGAGCAGCGGAGTGAGAGGAGTAGGGAGTCGGGTCCCCGGAGGTAGGAAACAATTCAGTTAACGGAAAGGAAAAGTCTCTCTTTTCTGGTTGCCGCGTTCCATTTTCCAGCGCCGGCCACCGCGGCTGTGTCTGGCGGAGCTCCGCGCCGCCCGTCTGCCAGTGGAGCCGAGCCTCCCGGCTTTGGAGACTGCAGTCGCCGGCTACCTTAGCGGCGGCCCGGGCCCAGGGCGGCGGGGCGCGGGCCGGGGGCGTGGGCTGGGCTGAGCGGTGGGGGTGGGGAGGCCCCGCGGTCCGCGCGCGCCCTCCACGCCGCGGTCTCCGCCGCAGCCTCGGCAGATTAAACTTGCCGCCCTCGGCCCCGGCCGCGGCGCCCGCTGCGGCGAGGGCAGCGGGCGGTGACCTTGCGCGCGGGCCGGGGTCCCCGCCGGCCGCCCCTCCCCCAGCGCCCCGGCCGGCCGGGCGGCCCGCGGCTGTTTCCCCGGCGGCAGGCGGGCGGCGCGGCGCTCCTGTTGAATCCTCGCGCTGGCGGGTTTCCCCCCTTCCGGGCGAGGGGCGGGGAGCGCGGGACGCCGGCCCGGCGGAGCCCAGCCCGGGCAGTGTGCGGGCCTCCGGCTGCCTTGCGCCCTCCGCCGGGCCCCCGCGCGCCTCGCCTGCGCCGCCCAGCCTGTGCTCAGGGCGAAGAAAACGCTCTGTGCGGTGACATTTTCACGCGGTTCCCTGCCAGAGGGCGGATAAAGCGCGCTCGCCGCGCCTCTCGGCTCGGGTGTTAAAGGAGCCTGAGGACTGAGTGGGGCCCGAACCCCGCACTGGGGAGGTGTCCCGGGCGGCGACTGGGTGCACGCTCTCCTCTGGGAAGCCTCGGAGTCGGAGCGGTTGGGAACACGGTGTGTGTGCCATTGTAGTGAACGGTTTTGCACTCTTGGAGCTCCGACACTCGGAAAGTTTGTGGTTGGGAGGAATACCTTGTTGTTGCGGCTGCTGTTGACTTTTGGCTCAAGAGCCACGCTCGGGAGCGGGATAGTTACTCGGGCACGAATTTGGGCCCCGAAGCGCGGCGGCTAGTCGTTGTCAGCGGTGCGTGCGCCTGCGCCCCTCCGCGCCGAGCGGGTCGCGGGACTCCCGGCCGCTTCGCTGACGCTTTTAGCGTTTCCACCCTCCAGCAGCGGGATCCCCCCCCACCTTTTTTTTTTTTACTTGGAAGAATGTATTGTGAGCATTCTTATCACACTGTTGTAAAATAATGGATGGTCACCGCTGTCCTGAATGGCCCTGCCCTGTTTGTTAGTAGTTTCGGAAACTTGGGACATAGCCCCTAATTCCAGGCGGGGTCTGCTGCCTAGAGTGAGTTGGGAGCAACCGCTACGTGCTCAAGCGTGTTTATAAATGAGACGAAGTGCAGATAAATCGTGACTTTTTGAAACTTGAAGGGTAACGTAATCATTGCTTTCAATTCGTACATGTTCCAGGATAGAGCATTTTCTGTATTGATTCATGGAGTAGTCAAATAAAATAATTAAAAATAGAAAAGTAGTACTAAGCAAAATCGGGCAGGAAAGGATGCTTCTTAGCTATGCAGAGCTTCCTGTGTCAGGGGTGTGATTGTGTCAGGGATGTGAGCATTTTTCGAGACAATAAAATGAGAACGCATGTGGGGTGGGCAGGGCAGGTCAGGTTGTGGGGTGATTAACCTGTGTCTGGTGATAGACAGGTGGAGGTTTCAGCTGTAGGCTTACGTTAAAGATAGACTTATTCTAAAAAACATGGTATCTTAAGTCAGAACATTATTCCTTCCAAGGAAACCTACAGGTATACCCTGCATGTAGAAAAGGCGAACTCAGCTTCTCTTTGATCACTTACGCAGCTGAAGTAGTAGTATTTTTTTTGCCTTTTTTATGGTTTAAAAATTACCCTCTTCTTAGCTGGGTTTTACTTGAAGGTGTATGTTAAATGACAGTGTAGTGTTTTTGTTAGCCTTTTTTTAAGAAGCACTTTGTGTGGTAGCGTGGCCGAGTGGTCTGAGGCACTGGATTAAGAAGCACTTCTGTGCCCCATTCTTATTTTCTCCCTTTTTGTTGAGGTTGACTCTTTTTGTATTAACTTTGTTTTCCTAGCAGCTTTGTTCATTTCAGCAGGTTTTACTCCTGATTGGTTGTGCCTCTCTTCTCCCTCCCTTGCCCCAAGCATTGGAGGAGACTGTGCGGGGATGATGCTGATTCTCGTAGTCGTAAGACAGTTTGCACTGGTCTCGTTTGACATGTAGTTCTACTGAGTTGGCTGGTGGATAAAGTTACTGTAATTTTTAAATTTTATTTAAAATTGCCCTGTAGCATTAACAGTGACAAAGAGTAACATTTTCGAGAGCTAGGCTTATTAATAATTTGTTAAGCCCCAAATAAAGTGAAACGTGTATTAGACAGGCTGTGCCTGCTAAAGAGTGCAGTGGTAGAATCTCCCCAAAGCTTTGGGAGGAGGGGAGTATTTTGGGAGGTTGTGTTCGTTTTGTTGCTTATAGAATTAGGTGGTCTTTGACTTCCTGGGTACCACGTTTTTCTGATCATGTGTTCCTAGAACTGATAGGCGTGCGCCCTGTGATGTGGCTGGGATGGCAGGGACTGCATTTAGTTTACATGAGAAAAGAGTAACTTCGTGTTTCCTTTGTTAGTGTTAGACAGCTACAAGGAAAATCTCCAGCTCATTCATCATATACATGAGAAGTTAGGTTCAGTGTGTAACTTAATTGATTTATTCAAAGTCATAGTTATATTCATGGGGTGGCATTGGGGCAGCCCTTAGATCTCCTGGGAGCATAGAAGCTTCCCCACGGTCTGCATTGTTTTATTTAGAGTTTAAGTGATATTTAAAATGATTGCCAGGTCTCTGTATTGTGCCTCTCCTTCTCCTCTTTTCATTCATTCAGCCAAGAAATAAAGTTCCAAGGTTGCACGCTTGACCATCTGTTGCAGAGTCTGGTTCTAATAATTTCTGCTCGGGATTCACTCCGTTAAGTTGTTTCAGAGATAATCTCTCGCATGTCTCTGCCTCCTGCAGTTGCTTGCTCTTCATTGTGTAACATTACTTGACAGGGCATTTATTTGTTCTGTGTAAAAAGTTACAAACCAGAGGGTTTGGAAAAGATAGTATTGAATTTTACTTTGTTATAAGATATATGTGGTATATGAGGTTTTTTTAAAAACAAAAGTTGTTATACAACTCATTTGTCACTTCCAATTACAGTAGGTAATTGGTTTAAATATTCCTGTTTGGGAATGCTAAAAATTAGGAAAGTAGTTTAAAGATAAATCCAGTACTTTCTGTGAACATTTGTTAGCCCACTGGAGGTTTAAACGGGCAGCGGTTTGCACTTGTGGCAGCGGTTTGCACTTGTGACCCCTCGGGTCTTGGAGGCCAGCACTCCTTCACAGCGCACTGTTACGGAGTGTCTGATTGTAACCATTCTCCCCCTGTACAGGGAAAGGGTTTAAAGCCCTTCTCAGTAAGTAGTTCAAAATTAAGGGTAAGTTTGCTATTTTAAGACTGTAATTATTTTAATTGGCAGGGGTGATCATGTACAGTGAGAATATCACAGGTTAAACTCAGATGAGTAAAACTTAGTTGTTTAAAATCTTAAAGCCATTGATTGGAGATATTTAAAAATATCTAGAGTAGTTACTGTGCACTAATGATTAGACATTAATAGTAAGTAATACTTAGATATACTTGATTCAGCCAAGAGCAGTGGAGGAAAGACTGAAGCAGGAAGATATTTTGAGGCATCTTTGAGAGGCCTGTGACCTCGAAGTACTCCACTAACCTCCCTCTCCCTCGGACAGAGAATGTTCTGGACAGATTCAGTTACAATGAACACGTGTTGAGCTTCCACAGACACACAGCACCGGGCTGAGCAGTTGCCCTTGGGAGGTGCATGTTGGAGCAGCGGCCGGCCAGCCACCCGCCCGCTCTGAGGACCAGAGCAGGGTCCCTGCTGTGGCGGGGTCTGGAGGGGCTGCATTTTTTTTCTTACTGTGGGAGAGTGAAATTGGCCATGACTAGATACAAAACTGATTGGGGGGGTGTCATAACCACAACCATTCTCTCTAGCAGGGAGTGGTTAGGGCCTGAATGGACCTGGGCTTGTGGCTCCCTGGGCAGTGTAGGGTTCTTTTTGTCTTCTTTCATATCAGGGGTTTCAGAGAAGTGAAGAGATTTTAAAGAAAAGCCCCCTATCATGTCCAAAAATATATCCCTGAACTCTGTCAAAGCCTTTTAGTTCGCCTTCGGATACTGGGTAGGCGTGGGGTTGGATAGTTGGTGGTGAAGGTTTGGGGGATAGAGTACATTCAAGAATTTTGTATTTAAGTGATAATATGATAAAAAAAATTCTAATGATACAGAAAAGTAGAAATTAAAGCTCCATTTCTTACTTTAAAAGGTAACTCACTATTAACTGTTTCCAGAAAGTTAACTTTTTCAAAAAAATTTATACAAATTGTATCCTATTGTACTGTTTACTTTTTTTAACTGCAGTTTACTCGTTTTCAATAGTTAATGTCATAGCTTTTTTTATATTGGCATATATAGATCAACATAATTTTAAAGTGATCAGAATAATTTATTATATGGAAGTACCATGACTTTTGTTCGGACCCCTTTTGAATGATAATTTAGGTTGTAACAATTTACAGTAGCCACCAGTATATGAGTATGCCTAGTACATGCACACTGGTATGGACTTCATTAAACTTTATGCTTTTTGCCAATTTGATATGTGACATTTATATCTTGTTTGGGGTTTGCATTTCTTTGATTATGAGCGAGATTAAACATTTTTTAAATACGCTTACCGGGCAGCGAGACCTTGCAGCACATACAGGGTTGACCAAAAAGTTCTTTATGATTTTTCCATAATAATAAAAGACACTTTCATTTTCACCAAGAACTTTATTGATTTTGCTGTTTTGAGTATGTCGGCTGTCTTCTGTTACTGACTTCTAATAGGTAGAGGCCAGGGCTGCTGCTAAACGTCTTCCGATTTATAAGACA